GCGAACAAATGATACTAAATACGCGAGAGCTAGACACCTGGCTAGATTCACTATACGAAAGACCATGGCCGTAGATACCCTAAGGGGGCTCAAGGCCCCCGTCGGGAGACCCATAAGGTCCTGTTGCGGCCACAACTTGGGCCACCAACCACTGAGCAAGCTCAGCGGAAGAGGCGGAAGGGCAACCCCCGACACCATGGTCTTAAGTCTAGCTGCACTAACAGGGTGACTACTCTTATATGACTACTCAAATGAATATGCTCGACCCGACCAATGAAATAGGAAAAGTAAGACAAGCACAATGGAAAGTGAGAGGGAACAGAGTAAACGAGAAGGCAGAAGGGAAGATAGAAATAAAGAAGTTAAAAAGTAGAAAAGTAAGGAATAGAGTTATAAAAGTGGAGAAGAAATGAGGAAAGAGATAAATAAGAAAGTGAAGAATGAAAGATGAGGAAATAAGGAATTAAAGAAGAAATAAATATAGAAGAAGAAGAAGGTTGGAAATGGATATAGGAATAAAGAAGTGAGAATAAGATAATGAGAAAGAAATGATATAAGTGAAAATAAGAAAGAAATGAATATAGAAATGAAGAAGTAGATAAGTAAGGAGTAGAGTTATAAAAGTACAGAAGAAATGAGGAAAGACATAAGTGAGAAAGTAAAGAATGAAGGATAAAAAAATAAATATAGAAAAAGAAGAAGGTTGGTAATGGATGAGAGGGGTGTTTCCAAGAGACCAGTATAGGAGACCGGCTCGAAGAAGAATGAGTACTCCGAGTCCAGGCACTGCCTCGAGCGCTCCCCCCACCATATGCCTGCTCGCTCTCGCCGAGTCCTGCGCGAAGAATTTGCGCGCACACAATTTTGAGCAACTTGCAGTACTTCTAAATATGCTTGGCCAGAATTTCTGATTTCTAAGTGTTAATATTTTACTGTATTGATTTAACTAATTATTTTGGTGTTTCAAACACCTAATTTATTAATATTTCAATTTGAACGTAATTTATTTTCCATAAGATCCAATAATATTTAGTAAAAATTGAAGCTCTACACGGGTGTCAAACTGGTACTGCACTTTCTTAAAAATGTCTTAAAAATGTTTCAGCAATAGGCTTTCACAATAGTTCTAGAAAAATTCGATAGTTTCCGGTCTCGTTCTAAGGGTTGTTTTGGGAACCAGCAGTAAGTATCGGAGAACCTCTGCCCACTAAGCTACGCGTTCCTATTCACGTTTATCTCGGCAACGACGGAATTCTCATTGTCGACGGAGGTGCTGATCACGAAATCCTACTTCCGGACTCGCCGCTACGATTTAGCGCCATGATTTTTGTATCGCCTCAAACCGTAATGTTGTGCACCTCCGTATACTCATCTCTGGTTAGTCATATATGTATGACCAGCTGGCAGTCAAAGTGATAATGAAACGTTTTCCGAATATTGAGGTGACAACTTCACACCCGTATATTATCTCAATTTTGGAATAATACGTATTTTAACGATGTTACGTAGTAGAACTATTGTTAAAATCTATCAGGAACTATAGAACTCCTCGAGAACTATGGAAAACGCCTATTTTTAAGACTTTTTTAAGAAAGTGCGATGCCAGCTTCACACCCGTTTAGCACCTCAATTTTTGAATGCATAAAGAATGCATAAACTTATTTTAAATATCCAAGTGTCTGATTGGTTAATATCACAGTTGACTCGGGTTTATGCATTGAACCGCATCGAAGTAAACGGGTATCAAACTTGCAAATCGGCAACTTCAATGCAGCTTTAGCCAAGCAATCAGCATCGCGAAAAAGAAGAAAGAGTGCATGAAATTGAACGTCGTGATATCGAAGAAAAGGACAAACTTAACAGCCATCGAAACAATCTTTAGATACTCAAAATCTTATTTCATATATCCAGATTAAACAAACTTACCGCAAATGAGGGCACTGCGCAGTCACATTCAAGTAAATAATAATCGTGTGCTAATTTGACGAAAAGAATTGTCAAACTTCGCCTCCGTTTGCAGCTTCTTCAAGATCTCCATAAATACATCTTGGGCAAAGGCACACCTTACGGACGGTGGTTGTCTTCAAAATGCAACAAGGGTATTCCAAAGTGCAACAAAGTTCGACCAAATCGATCAACAAACTGCAAGAAAGCCTACGAAGGCTGCGATTCTAAACTGAAATACAAACCGAAAGTCAAACATGGGGGTTTTGGCAGCTGTAAAACCGGAAGATGCGGTACCACAAAAAAGAATTAACGTAACCGAAATTTTCAACAAGTAAATCAATTTAAAGCCATCAATGACCATTAATATAATTTAAGAACAAAAACAATACACTTATTAATAAAAATATTACTCACCATGCCTATATAAAGCACATTGCTTCCTCCACTTATACAATTTATATCTTCGACCTTTGTATTGTTCTTCAGCAAAGATCATTCATCGGATTATTCTCGGGGCAGTTATTCATTATTGTTATTAGAGCCAAAGATCATATCGTAAAATAGTAATAAATTATGAGATACAAGGACAAGTGAAGTGAAAAACATGTTACGTAATCATCAATCAGGTGTAGCATACAGCTTTGCATTTTATTATTCAATTAGCCATAGGGTTATTATCGCTTATGAGTAATCGCAATTACTTAGGTTGGGTCCAACATTATAATTTATATAACTTATTTAACGTAACACTAGTTTTCTATGACAGGCGAGGCAGTTTCCTTCTTTCTTACTTCTTTTTTCATTTTTTTTTTTCCCCTGTACCACGCTCATTACTCTTTCAAAAGCGGACGAGCGTCAATTCCTCGTACTTAAGGAAAATAGGAAAAAGACTTACAAATTTAGGTACAAAATACTCCTGCTGCAACGAAACGAGAAGAGGTCTTCTTACCTATGTATTATTATTTTGCATTTACAGAGAATTTCACTTTTTTTTTGTCCCAGAGGTTTATTTCAGCATTATTTATACAATATATAAATTGAGTGACGGGTGGAGATCAACGTTAATCATTGGCAAATTGCGATGCATGAATAATAACGAATAAATTGATGAAAACGAACGAATGCCTTGGTGGCGTCAAAGCAGATTGTTCCCTGTGTGCAAAGAAGCTTCGTTAATATTTGTTTCTTAAACAATCGGATCTCCGCTCGTCAGGTACGGTACGCAAAAGCCATCCTACACCCAGTAGTATGAATACAATCATTGTATGTAAACCTTAGTAAACAGCTGATTATTAATTCTCGATAGAAACCGCAATGTGTGTTCTTTACGTTATGATATACATATATATATTTATATATATTTATATTTATATATATATATATATATAGCATTTTATAATTATATATGCAAATATACATTTGCAGACACACAACCCCGCGTATATGCAAACGTATACGCGCCTCCATCTGTTTATTTATATATATAGACTTTTATGTATACTATTTATAGAAAATTATACTAACTACATCGATATATACATAAAAAGGCAAATGTGAAATACCTGAACGTTTCTCGTCTGTTACATTATAAAAATATGTTTATTTATCATTAAGTTTGTTCGTATCGCGACCGATAAAACTTCATTTACTTGTTTCACTAATGTTACAGGAGCGCAGAGCGTCGCGGTAAGTATATCCACATATTTGCGTCGTTGTATGATACACTATCGTTATCGTTAGTGCTTCCATATAAAAACAATGAAAATAAGAAGCGTCAAACGGATTGCAATTTTATAACGTAAACAAAAAATTAATATTTTAACGCTATTCGCCTCGGGTACAATATTGCCTTTGTCGCAGACAATTCACCAGCATTTGCCTTTTATCAAACAACTAACGTTCATCATTGTCACTTCAAGTTAAATGCACGTTCTGCGTCAGGATACGTATAACAGTCATATGTGCATGCACTAAAAGTTTCAAAGTTTAATGCAATTAATTAGACGGCGTGTGAAGGAATTATTGTAATTAGAAGAAGTCTCGTTATCGAAAGGGAGATATCACTGATTATTAGACTAGTTATCTTGCGCGTATAATGTATATATAATTATATTATATTGGCAAGCTGTACAGTGTGTTATGAAAGTTATATAATATTCTGATGCAATTTAACATTTTTTTTTTTCATTTATCGACAGTGTTTATATATACACCGTTCATAAATAATAGCGAATTGCATGAGAACATTAAAAAGTTTGCTTTGCTTGTTTGCATATATTGAAATTTTAAGATTCGAGGTATAACACATGATTCGCATGAACGCACGTTTACCTTCTGCAATTGTATGAAAGAAGAGTTGTATATCGCTATATCGTGGCATTAACGCAGGAGGAAGAGTACATTGGATGATGAGGAAAAGCTGAGGATGGTATCAATTAGTGGTGACCCCACGATTGTCGCATTGGCATTCGGTAAAACAATTCACATTTATTCATTTTCCTTCGTATAAAACAATAACAAGTACGTTATTACTTTGTGTTCACGTCTCCCTTTATATTATTGTTTCTACTATTATCCGTGATAATTATTATGAAACATTATGTAACACGATTATATCCCTCGAGATATATGTATTGTGGTCGCGCTTTTCACTTATCCCTAACTATGGGAAATTAGGGGGATTTTTTTCAGTTTTTCCTTAATTTTTCTCTCTGTTTATGCAAGTATCGCACAATTGGAGGTAATTCGAGTTGAATGTACTTCGTGCTGTACACTCGCGTTTTCTTGTTATTTTCATAACGAAAACATAAGCAGAATTAAAAGGAAGGCCGTTGGCTTTTCTCTTTCTTTATGAAATAAAAAAAAATATTCGCGACATTTGTTACGGCATATCGTTCAGCAAGCTACTTGCACGTTTGTGGTCACCCGCTAGTACGCAGTACATTATAAAATAATCATACTTCCGAAATATCATTTACTCTAACGTAGACATACCGATTGATTATCCACTCTTCCTCCCAAAAAGGCCCGCTATAACATTCCTACAATCGAACGCTCAAATTCATCAAGTCTTCGATTCGCATCCGACACAGCGCTGCGAACTCATATTATATATTCGTTGTTTACGTTGGAGGTTGCGTGAGGACAAAGAGGGAAAATAATGCACTTTATTTGACAATTATCATCCGTTAATATTTATAAAATATATAAGCTATCCTGCGTGCAGCGTTGCTTTCTCACCGCGGAATAGAGAGACTTTACTGGGTCAGTAAGTCTCCTGATTACCAATCACTTTGGGCGTCCAGATGGTCGCCCAATTTTCATAATTTCCTTCATTCCTTTTGTTCAGGATCAGGCTTTGTTTTCGGCTCCATGGACGAAGGACGAGGATGATGTGGATTAGTTTGGTTTCTCGGTACAAGAAGGACGTTTCCGTCGGCCGACTGCTGGAGACTATACTCGTACGGATGGTACTGATTACCATCAGGATCTCTTAGGGACTGAAAAATTCAAAATGACCAATTATTTAATGGTTTCAGTACTTACGTAGTGTGTTAAAGGAATGCATCATCCATCCTGTTATTATGTCCATTTATGAAAATGAACGGTTTCTGTGATTTTACTGACCTGGAAAACGTGACGGTAAAGCTGACTGAATTTGTCCTTGACGCGCTGTCTTTCTAGAAGCATGAAGTCTCGTTCCCGGATGAGTCTCATTTTACGATCGCGCATCTCCTTAACTTGATCGGCTAAGCTAATTATCTGATCCAGCTTGCGCTTACGGCAATTCTGGGCTGCGACCTTATTCTTGCCTCGTCTTCTGATGTCGCGGATTAACGACAACTGAGTTTCGCTCAAATCGTACTTGCTCAGACGCTCATTAAACTCATCCATGGGGAGGTTAATGATTTCATTTACGGGGATTGGTACGTTTAACGCTCTGGCGCGCTTTTCATCTCTGGTTAAATGTTCTTCCCCTTCGCTCTTGCGAACTACAGTCACGGATAAGAGATAAACATTATTTTCCATACACTGTGTAAAACCGTGATTACGTAGCACTTAGATTCAGACAGGACGACAAAATGCGCAAATAAGAATATAATTAATACCTTTTTTATCACGTGTTAACGAACGCTGTAATGATCCAGAGTTCTCCGCAGGAAGGTGATAGGTATGATTGTGTTGAACGTGCTCGATGGCAGAACGTCCTTAAATAATAGTAATAAATAAATCATTATATTGCATAAAAATTGCAAAAACATCAATTCACAGATGATGATTCTCTTACCAGATTGATGACGAGTGAAGTCTACGCTACAGCTAAACTTCATTTCAGGCTGAGGACCAGCTGCACCTTCGATGGGACCAGAATACGCATTTCCTGGTGCACCAGCACCGACCGTCTGCGTATCATATTCGTATTTGAATGGTGTTGTAGGATGTGGACTAGCACCGAGAGGTGAGCCTGATACAAAATTTAATTAATCAATAATTAGATTTAACAGATAAATGGCATTCCATGATTTCTCCAGAGCGAATGAATAATTTCGCTATATTATCAAAGCAACACCAACCGGTTCCTTGTTCTTGGAAGTATCTCTTGGCGAACATCTGATGTTTCTTCTGTGCTACCGGCGGCATGGGACGTTCAGTCTGACACCTCGGAGAGCCTCCGCTCCTTCCGGAAACTGTGTAGCTGCAATCGTATGGCATACGATACTTGCTAGAACGGAGACAATAGATCATTAATAAATCTCAGATACTTTATTAATAATTATTAATTAATTCCTCAATTACAAGTTTGTCTACCTAGCATAGTCCATGGAGTAATGAGAATCGGCTTGGGTATGACTTGAGTTTGAACCAGTTTCCATCCATTCTCCATCAGACAAAGAAGGAACACGTTCACTACCCATGCTGCTAACAGCGCTGTCACTGGAGGCGTCCATCCTCTCATCAGTTATCCCAGGAAGAGTGGTAACGCCGGTTGCACTAGGTGCAGCCCCAGCAGCTGACTGCACTCCAGGAAGAGCTGCAGCACCAGTGGGTCCTGAGGCATTATTGCTGCTGTTATCCAGCATGCGCATGGTGTACATGCCTAAAACATAAACAAAATGATGCTTTGAAATAATATATATATATATACACATGTATATATATTTAATTGTAATACAGTCATACGAGAATAAAAAACCTGATATTTTTTTCAGATCGATAAATAAGTCTCGATATACTCTGTTTATCTTTTTATCGTGTCATTTTTGATGATGACAGTGAAGTTTTAACATGACGAATAGATAAAATATATTTCGCCTAACCGGTTTAACTGGCTAAAACAGACGTTCAACTTAACTCTTTGCGAGTTTACTTTGGCAACGACCGTGTTTCAGGTTTTATTTGAATTTCAAATATTATGAAATATAATAATCGCTCGCGAGGTTTCGACTTGGTAATAAATTCAACTGCGGAAGAGTCAAGTAACTGACGAAAAGGAGCAAGAGTCAAAGCCAATTAAATCGTGAGGTGGGAGGTTATTATTGTCATGTAGGTGAAAAATCATGAGTCGTAGGATTATTGCGAACATACAAACGCGTAAACATATGTCATTGGTATGTACATACGAATTTTGCCTTCAGGCTAGAATAGTAGAGATGAAAATATTTTTAAACCCGAACGAGGATGACGTACTTGCCATTACTACTGTCAAATGTTTTCTTAATAGCCACCGTATTTAATATTCGACAAAACATAGTACGCCTGATTAATAGAGTGAAAACTATAATGATACAATTTTAAAATGTCAATACTTAGTAACCGCAGACTAGACGCCGTATAGGTCTTTAGAGCGTAAAAAAAGTAACAAATAAATCATTCAATTAACATATGTAAAAGCTTTATGGGAGTACGTAACCTCGTTAATACGTTAAAGGCCATTAGCGAGAACACATGAGTAGCTGAATGTTACTAGATTGCACGTAACTCGTAAAGATCCTCAATGCCCATACGTGTCAGTATCGGTGGCAGATGGCACGTAAAATGTATTTAACTAGATTGAAACCTATCGTTGATCTTTTTCATAAATTCAAAAATGGATATAAAAATAATTTAACAAAGACCCTTAATTAATTATTTTCTCTACTGGTGATTATCACGATTGGCTCTCACGCTCAAGCATACACGATAACGTTACCGGCCATAAAAGTGATTTTCCACCCATCGCGTATATGTATATATGTAGATACATATAACCATGACGGGATCCATTATCATCGAGGCAGTAGAACTTAAGAGGAAACTTACAGCATAGCTGAGAGCTGATACGACCTTCTACGAAGCCATTCGCATCTCGCATATGCGTATAGTGAACCGGCCGATACGCGAATGGTTTTAGGTTACAATGCGCGATAATCAGGACTTTTGCGAAAGAACTTGTTTGCTGGCTTTTGCGTGGGTATGCGGAGTGCGAAATTCCTGACCCTGCTATCAGCGTCACACATAGAAAGATACCACGGTGCTACTTGCTCAGAGAAATTTCGAGAGATACGGTATAACGATTGGTTGATTACTTCGCGACAGCCGAAGCCTGACCGTGGATAACGAATCGGTAAGCAAAATTTGTTCGTTCGATCAAAATCTGCTACAGTCATTAAATTTAATTCGCGCGGTCATTGAACGTGCCGGGGAAAAATAAAATTTATAATATTGATAAGTTTTTTTTATACGATTAACAAATATTGCATCGTTTATCAGAATCAATAAAACATAAATTGGTAGATTAAAAAATACGTATAGTATGTTATTAGTTATGTGGATTTTGCCAATGAGTCAACGTATCACATGACTGAAAAAAATCAATAGCACGTATCAATAGCAATATCTGTTATCACAGATAACTTCACGCTATCTCGAACAACATGATTTCTATGAAATACCGATTCGGATATTTACATATGAATTTCGGGGAACCACATGAGGTTCATTCAACTCCGAAGTGGGAATACGTCGAAGACGTCGATACGTGAGAATTTCGTAAATCTAGGTCGATTTTTGTAAGTGATTTAGCGTTTCCGTAATGGGGATCAGAATTTCGTCGAAGGACAGTCTAGCGCGAAGCTTCGAATAGCCGTGGTCGAGATAAGATATCGCTCCGACATTTCACCTCGTATAAGATTATCCAATGTTAACCAAGAAAACTGACCGTCAACTAGCATTGATCCATATGAATATGAAACGTTTCACTAGAAAAGCAAATGACACCTTTTTTGAATGTAGATAATAAAAATGACTGCTGACATGATTCATCATTATATATCTTTCAATTAAAAATACTATGCCATATACATGACTGAATGAGGTTACGTGACGAATTCCATGTATAATAAAGAGTCTTGACGATCAAGTAGAAAAACAGTGGATGACGCCCGATAATGACACGGTAAAGATACAACCTTTCGTATCAATAAGGTAAGAATGTGTGCCTCCACGTTGTAACCCTAAAGATAGAGAAAAATCAGAGGCTACATCGCCTATCCGGTTTCTTTGTATTGCTACTATTCTAACTTATATGTAATTAACTATCAAATGTCGCATTGTTCTGAAACGACGAAGACGCCAATTGAAAACCTAGGCATTTGCATGTTCTTAGCATGTAAGCGAGTTCGCGCCTTCAGCCCATTGAAATAAAATGGCTTTGCTTATTCTAATACAGCCGCTATGCATATATGGCATAACTGTTTGCTATTTATGCTTGTAAATATCCCTCCGTTCCGCATTGACTGATCGCTGCGATACTTAACAATAATGCTAGTGCTGTTTTGTTTGGTGTTGACAGAAAATTCCCTTGAGTACCGTATATAATTATTGACAACTGATAGATTGTCGTGCGATTATGGAAATTATGCATGACAATGCACATTTTCATGATTATAATTATGCCTCCAGCAGTTTTTTTTATACGTTTTTATACGGGTCGTTATTGCCATTTGGATTAATTAACGGTAACAAATTTTGATAAATATTTCATGAACTTAAATATTTCGTGAAGTTTGCAATCTCACTGGAAACCTTAGCCGGTAAGTTTCGAAAGAACTTTATGTCGCGATTATAAATATTGGAGATGCGAGGTGACGTTGTTGCGCAAAATAAAGAGCGTCAAGTTACATACTGTATTAAGCTAGATTTAACTTTACTCAAATAAATTGACAAGAAAATACAAGTTACGGCCGTATGCTGTTTGCCAAAAGTTGATCTGTTCTTACCAGAAATTTGAAGGCAGTGCCAGTTATGCGAAACTCACCTATATCTATATGTGTACGTCCGTCAATGACGAAAGAAATATTAGAAGAGAAAGACACAAGACATTACTGTAATCAGTACGGCAATGGGTCAACAGATTTCAAAAACATCTCAATGATCAAAGATAACGAGGAGCGATTAGTCCGTCTATTAATGTACAGAGTGTAATCAAACGAATGAAACGCAGTAGCAGTTTTGCATTATTAAAACAATTTCAAAAATTTACAACTGAAATTTCATTACCAATTGATGGGATAATCGATTTTATAAATTTATCGGATTTACTTATTAGACGAAGCTGAGCGGAAGAGCGACATGTATATGTATGTATGTATTACGTAACAGAGCCCTTATCATATTTTATCAATGCACCGTCAACTGTTTCTTTTTAATAAAGTCTATTTTTCAGATGCGTAACCCTTTTGGAATCTTGATAACTCAAGATATTGCCGACGCGGTTGGATTACACTGATAAGACATAGACGGTCTGTATGCGTGCCGATGTTCAGCGTGGAAATTGCTTCATTGGTTGAATGTGAAAGATTTAGAAAATGTATTACGTCGTTAATTAGTTCCTGAAATGAAATTGCAGCTATAAAATCGAAGCTGTTCAAAGAATATAAGTATGCTACTGAGTCCTGTTCGTTTTGGGACACCCTGTATAAAAGTCAACAAGATAAAAACTATTTTCGTTGTCTGGCAATATAGAGACATTTTTAGCGTTACGTAGCCCTCTATTTCTTTTCTTTCTGTCTTATCGCACAGCAGATATTTGTCCACATCACTCACACGTCATTGTGCAGAGGGCGTATTGATATCATTAAAAGATATGTTATTTGTGCCAAAATGGTTGCGCAGACCTTGCAAATGTTACGGTACGAATAACATACGAAAGAATGTAATTTTTGTAATATTTATGAGACATTTTAATGACTATATATACCCAGTAGCTACTACGAAACCTAAATATGTATGATGAAAAGATGTTTCATTTGCTCATTCCTTATAACTCTTATGTTAACGACACAAATGACACATACTTGGCCTGTATACGATGACCCCCATGGTCGCCATTCAAACTCCACAAGGAGCTGCAGAGTCTTACTAAAAAAAAATAGTTCCTCGAGAATTTTTTTTTTTTCAGATACGAAAGATCCTCTTGCCAAATCCCAGTATGGGCACTGTAGTAATATAGATGTATGTATATTTATAAGTCAACTCAATATGAGTGAATTTAGCCCTCGTTCAGATTGAAGACGAGATTGCCCGTTTACAATTGTTTTGTAACGTTCAGCATTCCTCTCATGCAGGTACAGCAAAATTGTAAGAGAAGAGCAGTACTAAATCTCCAGGATCTTCGCAGCATAGTAAATACTGTAGTGTGTGTAACAATGCATATTCCAAACCACGCTGATACAAGATTGTTCAGATTTCACTAGTGTTTTCGGTATCTCCAGTGTGATCGTCATGCAAAATTCCGCCTTCCCAATCTAGTTGTATTAAAAACTCTTACAATCAAAACAATATTTTCGTGCGCATCGAAGCACCTTTGCGTAGCATAATAATCCAGATGTCGATCAGTCTCTTAAAAAATGTTTTTTAACAGTTTATAAAACATACAAGAGTCACCAGGAACGAATCTCAGAATTTGACGTGACAAAATTAAAAAGAAAGATGTCCAGCTGTTACACAGAAAAGTCAGCACACACAATATCCTAGAGCTTCGCTCGAAGGACAAGGTAAATGTCTCACAATCAGTTACCACCGACTTCGTAGAATTCTTCTTACACGTCAGCGTTTTCCACCTCCGGTTCTAATTATTAGCTTGAGTCAGTTAACGTAGATCTCCTAGCATCGGGTAACAATCATCTTGATCACAGTTATATACTAACGAGATCAAATAGCAGACAGTTAAGATTACTTTAAAATCCTAGCAGACAGAAAGAATCAAACGTGACAATTCGGACTAACGTTTGAAAATAGATACTCATGTAGACGCGTATAAGAAAGAAGTCTCTCGTAAGCCTTCTGACTGACAAACACCGAGAAACAACCGAACGCGTGGAGCCACCGAGTAACAATGAGTCGCCCCCAACGGCCACGCCGTGAAATATTTCAAACGGCTCGTCGAAAGCGGGGGACAATGACGATAACATTTCCCATCATGGCAGCCTTCCAGATTCTGTTAACTTCGTCACGCTCACCGCACCTATATACACTCATGAATTATCTCCGGATGTCTTGTGTCACTTGAGTCGTGAGATTAAAATCCGTTCCACGAAATTTAGTCTCTTTACCAGAGTGCAGAGTACAGAAACACTACACATCACAAAAGAACTTTGAGTTCCTTAAACTCATTTCTGAATAACACATACGTCACTGTGATTACACGTATTACAGAAGAACCGCGTAGTCTAGTCGCGAATGAATGCCGATTATATAAGCATCACAGACGCCTCACGTTTGCCCGTCAGCACAGCATAAACATAACTAACGCTCATCCGTCGCCCAACCAGTCTAACCCATACGGGGCGTCGCCACTTTACTCGGGAGGCAGGCGACTAGCTGCACTTTTCATTTTGGCATTGGACGTTGGTAATAAGATGGTGGGGTCGGTGAGTGAGCGCATACAGTGAATTATTATTCTTAACGTAAACGGTAACATCGAAAATTCATTATCGAATATTACATTCGTCATCAGGAAGCTTTATACGTATACTTTCACCATTTAACGTTCGTGAACTGGCGATGTTAACCTTAGCGTGAAAGGCATCTTTATCTAACTGTGTATGTATATAGACATGGTCCAAGTATACTTAGCATATATATATGTATATATAACTTGAAGTGATGCCATGAGATTACAAGAGTGAGAATACGAACAGGAATCGTGACATTCTTTGTTCACGACTTTCTTATACTTTTTTTTATTATCCATATACTTAGTGCATCTTGGGACAGTCAGTTTTCTCGCTTTTGTATGCCTCCTGTTTTCTAAGCTTCATCAGTGCAGCCAATGTTTCGTTGAACCATGTAAACGTTACGGAACCATTGCTCTTAGGTTAGAGGATTTTTCACGCGGTAATGATAATACAGCTCACCCTACTCCGGTTACATTGTATTTTATGTAGTGAAATAATTTAAACATATCTGGACATATCGTAGCAACGTTATCTTATCAAATATTAGTAAATATTCATCCTTGAAATTTATTGTATTTGTATACTCTGACGTCAAATGACGTTACACAAATTTCAAATTGAGTTCAGAGGCGATCTATGTATTTATGTGTGTATCTATGTACGTATTATATATACGTATATATATACGTATATATATATATATATATGTGTGTACGATGATGTGTTATCATTTTCCTGAGAACTTTCACATATCTGATCACTACAATATTATCAAGTTTGTATCATGATATTGATATTGGCCATTTTTTTTTTACTTACCAAGTATATGCTGGCAACTTTCTCATAATTCATGATTCGATCGAGTGGCTCACTTGTATCATTTTTCTCGTCTATTATTTCATTATTTTTCAAAGTCTCATTAATTATTATGACTTCCTTATCGAAGCTCTTCACGGAGTGATTAATTTACATGCAATTGCGAACACTGTTCACTTCCTTCTTGAATGTCAATTATTATTATCAGGATGAATTGACGAATCGTAATAAAACGCAGTCACGGCCGCGCCCGTGCCTTGAATTATACGCTTGTGGATTTCCGATTGTGCCAAGTCTCGCCTGGTTACAATGGAGTACTCTTTTTTTTTAATGGTAACAACTATGACGGGTGACTCGTATGACCCAAAAAGAAAAATTATGACAGGAATCGCCTTGGTCATGGAGACACGGTAAATATGGTAAGTCGTTTATTCTTAAACGGCTCAAAGCAAGTTGCTGTACAGTGGAAAATCCCTGAAAGATTACCATTATTTTCTGGTTTCCTTGTTATCCCTTTGTAATATTATTTCGACACTTAAAAATGTATTCTTTATCAAATCCTATTTTTACTAAATAAATCAAACAAAGTTTTGTACGCTGTTGTTGCTTCAGACATACATTTTTTTTTATTAAACTAGAAATAGTAAATCTACGTTAGATAACAATATTTCTGTAAAATCACCTTCTGTTTATAGAACATTTACGTATATCTACATATGTAGAAATAAAGATAACAAGGACGCGCGTGGTTCAAGAAACTTGTATATATGTATAAATATGAGAGGATTTCCGTTGGATATCCTATGAAATCATATCCCGTAAGTGGACATTTGTGTGATTGTGTATTTTCCAAAAAATATCCCACAACAAAACTTTTTAGCAAAAGTACCATATCAGCATATGAAACAACAAAAATAAGATAAGGCCGCATACGCAACAAATAACGATGAAGCCGTCTCATGTATATGAATGTCATTTGTACAAAACGTTGACGCTTTTTCGGCTGGAAGGAACATGAACAAAAGGAAACCATCATCGATACGTTTCTTAGATAGGTAATATAATAATAGTGTCAGCCTCATCACAATAAGCGTTGGTATTGCTTATCAGTGGTTTCAGCAGAACCAGAACTTTTGTATTATAAACTGTATAAAGTTGGGTATTTACAAGTGTGAAAGCGGATATATTAATCATTGTATACTAATTTTTACATATTTGAAAAAAAAAATATCAATGATAACTTTCCCAATCATATTTCTTGATAACGTTATCACGTTCCTAACCAGGCTGCTGATAATACCATTTCTGACTTTTCATTAAGCCTGTTATTAACCCCTTGATGACGGTTCACATTTATGTGTCACCCCCTATTATTTTCCGAACTCTTTTTGTTGATCTTCGTAAAATTTGACTTACGAGGTTTTTTGATTTTGCCCTTTCCGAGTATAATATCCAGAATTTTAAATTCAAAATGCTGCTCGGATTCAATAATCTCGAAAACCCTTATCCAAAAAGGTCTTGCAGGAGTAAGGTTGTCCGAAAGTCTCTATTTTCAAAGGGTTGACTGAAGGTCGTAGCGAGGGTACCGCAGTTTTTTACCTCCTCATCCTCCTGAAAATACAGTTGCCTGGATGATGGCCGAAGATGATTTTTTGAAGACGGTATGAAAAAAAAACAATTACAAAATTTAGAAAAGCCCGAGGTTATCAACGTCTTCTAAGGCGTCGTCAATAGTCACGCGTACAAGAGAGAAGTCAGTCCCGTGTGTAGAATGCAAATGTTTGGCTAAGTATGTAAACAAGGCAGTTCTGCGATAGCGACAGCTAAAGTCCGCAAATTGGAATGCGCGACGGCGAAAACATTGTTGCGAAAGTAGATCGCGGACGTGAGTGCAAAAGCGAGCTTATGTTCCTTTGATAAACTGTAATAAAAAGTGCTATAACGACGATTTAGAGCTGATTTAATGAGAGCGTTCATTCGCTGTTACCTGCTCGACTATCTATATACATATACTGTTCTAGGATTTCTTATCACATTCTGCCTGTATAACTTAACCGCCTGCTAAAATACCTCGAACATATTGCCATTCCGTATACAGTAATGTTACGCAAGGACAATGTACTATTGAAAAATTCAGATACACAAACGAATGGTTACAGTCATTTGAAACAGACAGAAATAAATTTGCTAATTTTTTTGCAACATTCGAGGTGCACTTCGCAATCGATACCCATTCGATACTTTCCTTACAGCTTTCACCGAGCGAATAAGTAGAAGAAGAGTTTAAGGAACGAAGTGAAGAAAAAAATGAAAGGTGAAAAAGAAACCTCAGGATCGTTACTTACGATAAAATCGATGCCATTAGGGCAGAAGTGATTAAACGAGCGGTGAACCTTTTCGTAACGACGATGACGTGGATTAAAAATTGCGAAATTAGATTGCGAAATAGATAAGTAAATTGCGATAAGTCCTATTGCTGATATCTGAATTAATAAAAAAAAATTGTTTCTTACCAATCTCGCAAATTTCCTCATACGCTCTGTTTCCGTAAGGTTGGCTCATCTGACATAAATAAAGCTGTGCGCACAACTGACACGTGCTTCGATAACATGATTCTCCTGTGCACTCGTATTTGCCACGTTGTAAAGCTAATATACTGGTAAATATATATGCATACACAATACATCCATATATCCTGTTTACATTTCGCGATATAATCATTAAACCTCAGACTGAGGAGATTATTTTTATTAATCGTACATTTAATATCCATTCTACGAACGTGTCATCCTCTTAGCTGTCTTTCTTGTCACGAAATGCAACAGATGGATCGTACGACATGCGTCAGCGCGTATCACGCACAAATTCGACTCGTATTTCCGGTCGGACCGCCGCGGGCCAAATGACAAGATCGAAAACCTCGCGCCAAAACAGTTTGCTGATTCACGCGTAGGCAAATTCTTTTATCGTATGATTTCTGACGTAACGAGTAAATATTCATATAGAATCGTTAGATATCGTTGTTGTCGAGTCATTTGAAAATGTTAAGTAAAAAAAATTCGAAAATTCGTCAAAACTCATGCAAAATCAATCCTTGCATCTATAAATATATCACTGTTCACTATAACAGACTTTTATCAATTTACCATATAACAAAGTCAGATCAAAATCTCCTTGGTCTCTCAGATACACGAGAAAAGTAATCGCCCTGAGTCTACATAAGTCGCGTGTACGCAGACGCGAACGCCGAGAACCGCGTCGCTTGTTTTGTGTGTGTTTTGTACGAAGTCATCGGGCGTCTGGTAAATGAATCAATTTCATTCTATTCTTACAATCGCATAGCGGATGCGATGGTAAAAGAAGTGTATGACTCACGATGGAACGTGCCACAGAGACCCACACGTATCTGTATCACATAACGACTCTCCTCGTTTACAATGACAGCCAACAGTCATCGTCATTGGTCCTTTCGCCATATTACTCATCCGCTATACGTATATTGACTATGTAAATTCATAATCATCTATACGTCTTCTTTCTCCTTTTATTCCATGTTGGATTCCCAAGTAATACGACGAATCACAGTTTTAATATTTTTATTTAACTTCATCCGTGTTGGGAACTACTGTGTTCCTGACACTATTCGTGACCTATGAGGGATGGACACCTTAGCTGGTTTCTGTCTAAATGGCACCCTAAGATATGTTGAGGGTAATTTTTAAGGAAAATTTGAAATGTGGAGAGGAAAAATGCTTTAGGTTTTGAAATTGTACTTTACGGTAATTATATAATGGGAAAGGCCTGTTCTGAGTTTTTATGGTTTGGTTGACGTTTTTAAGGATTAACGAATTTCTAGGATAATGGGTCTTAGGAAAACTGAAATAAGTGCTAGGGATACAGTTTGGTCACGTTCGTAGAAAATTTTTAAAAATATAATAATTCGGAGTTATATAAAATCGACATGGATGTCTCCCCGTGCTAACGGACATTAATGATCTTTACATAACTCTCCTTGAAATTCAGATTTAATCATGAATTATATTAATCGCGTGTAAGGTGCAAGAATAACAAAAAGTTTACATAAACATATAATACTACAAAATTGCATTACTTCGATTCTCTTATTTTTTTTTTTTCATTCTTATCCATATGGAAGGACTCTTACCGTTAATACGATTGAAGGCAGTCGAAATATCGAGTCCCATTCCTCGATCTAAGCACAGGATCCCTTAATGGCTTCGAGAAAAGATGAAAGTCAAATTGGTCGAAGCACACATATTTCGTTACCAGGCACGACTATCCACCGTCTTTGATTCATACGTAAACACATTGACGATAGATAATAAATCAGCGACGTTTCGACGTCGCGGTGTGTTCTCAAAGCACGATGCGATCGTTGCTTAATGTGTCATGAAAATGGTCGATTCACTTCGTCACTGAATATTCATTGCAATGACACGTTGCCAATCTCTTTTAAATTCAATTAACTCGATTATTTTTTATATGTAGTGTATGATATCCGGAAGCGGATACACACGCTAAGATGACGTAACGGCCTTTTAATAAGAAAATCATGGAAGAGACAGTGAAAAAAATGTACGTTAAAGTGGAACAACAATAAATCCTTTGGTCGCCAAAGGGAAAATTATCGCTTGGATTACAATAGAGTGATTACGAGACAGCGTGGAATCGCGTTACAAAACTTCATGACACCGCGTTACTAGAAACTGGCCCTACTATCGCTCTTGTTCACGGCCTCGGTAAAACTGCGATTTTTTCTACACGTGCGCTACCAGCTCGTACAATGCTTCACTTATGCAGTAGGTGTATATATATATATTCACGTATACGCGGCTGATAGGCCAAACTCAAGCTCGGTACACTGATAGGAGAAATGCAATGATTGCACGCGCGTACGTGCGCCGTTAGGCGAATTTATATATCTTTCGTTTTTTCTCCGTGTCGTCATTTCCCTTCTCTTTGGGACAAGTAATAATATCCTTGTGTACCAATTACGTTGTGGGTAATACGTTAAGGCGGTTATACGCGCGTATGCAATGTTATTGTCTATTGCGTCGGCTACCGGAAGGTTTTTTTTTTTCCATGTAATTCAGTATGTTTATGCGAAACGTTTACCATGCAAATTGTTAATGAAAGGAGCGCGCGACTGTCTTTTTATTGTGTAACGACAAGTGGCAAAAAAAAAGAATGAAAGGACGGGACGTTGAGAGGACGCAAAATTGTGAATCGGGTCTAAAGTGCGCGATAACGTCGTGTCGCTTTTCTTTGAGTTTTATCGTGAAGATGGGATGACGTAGAATGATTCTTTTTTTAAATGGCAAAACTCAAGGAACTTTGGGTCTCGAGTGTCAATGCACCTTTAAATATTCTTGGGTACGAACACGAGCGTTTTACGTGCACGCTATCTTTTACCGGTGGATTAGCCTTTAATTACGCGGTAACTAACGCATCGTTGAAATTCAGCACGTCGATTAACGAAGTTACTCGAGTTTGCTTCGGTGAGTATCTGGAGGAAGATCCGCCTCGTGGATTTATGTTATCTGCATTGGCCTCAATTATATGGATGAACAATAATTTGTATTTGTTATTAAAATTATTTAGGTTGGCTTTTTTTTTTTAACAAAAAATGTATGTAAAAAATGAATACCGTTTTTTTTTTTTTGTAATCTTATGGACGATATTGATCGTTATGGATTGTTATATCGATATTTAATGAAATCGTTTAAAGTGATGAAAAATTGAAGATGACCTTGTACGAGATTTTTATGACTTTAGTCAAGTATATTTTACGAGCTCGTTGGTCGTCACAAAAATTTAAACACTTATCGGGCGAACGTAAATAACGAGAAAGACCAAACGAATGAAAATGTACGCAAGCACTTTTGTCGATCGAAAATATCTGAATAGGAACCTAAAGGAGCACTTACGTCACGACACTTTTGCACGTTTTTATTGTGGGATAATGTCAATAGTTTGAAATCCGATAATTCTTATACCGTAGAGTTTAACTCGAATAAAGAAATCAAGATTTATATAAGATCGGTAATGCTTGGAGATACAATGTTGTAACTAACAAGTTTCACGAGCCACGAGTTGTAATCGCCAGGATCTTCAATGTCTCCACTCGTAAGGCATTCGGTCGCCCATTGAAAGAAAAGCCACGTAAAGGATGAAAAAGAAAGTATTGAAATAAATTCGTAAAAAAATCTGACGAAAATGATCACGTCTTCGATGAAGGTTTGCGCGAGGAAATAGCCTCGTTAACGGTCAATTAACGATCCGTGATCGGGAGGTAACAAGAACTAAACACTCTCTCCGTTAAACACTCCGGCCAACCGTTCTCTCTGCAACTCTGTGTGTCACTCGGCCATCTGCAATTAGTGTGCGTGAAATACTGAATAATGCTCACACGTTTGTACCTACAATCATCGCCAAAATGTCGTGCACAGTGGGCGATATGAATACTTAATACAGTTTTGAATAATAAGACGCATCAGTCATTACAAAAAAGATGATTAAAAAAATCCCGCCTTAATATCAGTCGGAAGTCATATTAACACGAAGAAAACATTAATAGATCGAATTAGGATATACGATTTAAATTAATTTCTAATTATCAATAAAATAGATTTGCTCGATTTCAATCGATCAGTTACTGAGCTATTGTAGGGAAGAGTGGTATAATTAACTCATATCGAAAGTTATGAATTTATTAATCGATAAGTCATTCGGTGCAGAAAATTGTTTTTGTTAAGCAATACATTAATCATGGCCAAAGGTTGGAATTTGTTTGAAAAATAATCTGTCTCATAAGACTGATCAATATTGATTTATACGTGAATGGAAAGATCGTGTCGTTACATTGTTAAAAAATTAATTAGAATCAGAGGAAAAGTGTACAAGGATAAAGAAGCTAGCTGTTAATTTTGTCTTTGACTATACAATGTATGCTTGGTAACTCGGACTCTGTCATTTATATATTCGTGCGACATGAGCAAACTGATATGTACATATGCAAGGACAGTGTGCCAGTGTGCGATACAAACGCGAGGTGAGTCAGCATTTACGTGTTATTGCCAGTTGCGTATTTTAAGAGGGTTGCTTAACGAAAATAATTCCTGGCAAGGTTAATAACCACGCCAAGATGAAAATAGTGACGGAGTGATTGCGAGTATGGCAGACAATGTTGGGACTTCAGGTAAAAGGTTTAAAATCGAGACCTGTTTGATTTTTATGGTAACTGTATAAAAAAACGGATGTTCGTACTTTTGTTAGTTTCGTAATAATGAAGTTATTACTTCGTAGTTTCTACCACGTTTTTTTTTTTTAAATGTCCGTTGGCATAGTTTATGATGGAAAATGAAAAAGAATTGTATACTGAGGTCGAGCGAGGAAGTTTTGTATTGACTAGGTAGTATGTGGCGTAAGTCCCTTGTAAAAGACGTACATACATAAATAACTTAGGACGTCTAGAAAGATGGTCTGGTTTACGTCGCGTTCCTTTTTTTTTCTCTAGTACTTGTATGGCCAGTGAAAAATGTTTGTAGACATTGAGATGGCCGAATGAGATACAGGACAGCGGATAAGTTCAGTCATTGCATTTCGCTTAGGGCTATTTTGCTTGTTTTCAGGATATTTCGTAAAGGGATAAAATGTCATGATTTTCTCTTTGGCAATAACATACAAAGGTGCTGAGAACGTATTATCTGCTATTTTTTGTATCAGTTGGGAGATTGATACTGAGTGACATTGAAAGATTATTACAAAATATGATAGCATATGTAGTGAAACAGTTGATTCTTAATGAAGTTTGGCGCTATAAATGTTACGGAGCGTGGTTGTAATCACAAAATAGGATTCAAATTTGGATGTCTTACATATTTCACTGAATATTGTAATGTAGAACAAATTATGAAAATCCTATGAATAACACTATGCAGTCGACTGTCCCCTTTAAGGGGCAAAAATATCTGGAAATGAGGAATTGCGAGGGCAAAGTATTAAAATTTACTTTAAAGTAATGTGTGCAACAATGTCGTGCGTATTCATTGAGATTTATCTTTGAAGATATTTCGAAGAAATTGACTAATCCCACTTGTGGGGCTCCTCTAGTTACTGCCCTGAACTTCGATCACACGCAGTGAGCAACACGCATGCGCAGTACTCGTAGTATGAGGCGCGAATCGCAGAAGCCGGTTACGCCTGAAGTTGGCTCCATTGAAATTGCTTTGTTCACCGGGCAAGTCGAGTCGTGCCACGAGCCTTTCAGTTCCTTGGAGTTATCCAGAAAGAACGGACGCTGTGAAGCTTTCTGCATCAGCTTATATCATAATCCTGCAGTGTCCCTTGGGAACAATTGGTTATCATAATTAGGTAAGTATGAATACTCTTGTATACCAGAAATGGATAGAATCGTAGCCATGTTTGCTTTTACTCTCGGCGGGAATATTCCATTTGCGGTCTATCCCGTGCATTGTCGACGATGTTCATTTTTATACCATTTTTTAAGGTAGTTGCTGTTCATTTTTTTTGTTGCTCCTTTTTTTTGTAGCCAGGTGCGTGATGTGAAAAATCGATGCTTCCATTTTTTTTCAAGATTATTCCTCAGTAAAACATCATTTTTTAAAATTTGTTTACTATTTTTCTATATCGATTTCGAACTCTATATGATGTATTGTTCATTTTTATTTATAATTTAGGGTATATAATTCATCATCCCAATCTGTGTGCAGAGGTATTCATTATTAGTTAATAATATTTAGAAGCGGGCATGGCCGCCAATTGTAGAAACATCTTTCATCTTTTTTTCCTTCGTTTGACTTTGTTATGACCAGCACCAATTCGTAGAACACTCGACCGTTATATTATCGACTTCTTTGTCTTCTTGTACGAACCTTGTGTGGTGCGATTTGTTTTGCTTCGTTGACATTGTTTAAAATATTTTTGATGGCAACTATTTTCTTTGATGTATTTTATGCCACATTGACTGTATACGTGATACTATCGCCTTTTGTGACAAAGGAAGTTTCGCATTCATAAGATATAATTTACGGCGTACAATGCATGCTAGATATTTTTTGTTGCTGTGATACAAGTCCGATTTATATAATTCATGTTAAATATATTGTTAACTGTAATTAATATATTACGATTTATTGAACAGAATGGACGATGATTGGGATGATATTCCGGAGGCGGGATCGGCCGACTCTAACGCGGTAAGTAGATATACAAATATATAATAATTATTGATTGTCGATTGTATTATGGCTTGATCAACATTTTTTTTTGTTAATTGAAATAGTTCAACTCAGAGGGCCGCAGCTATGGAAAGGGGAGAGGTTTCAAGCCTCATAATAATAACGACTATGAAGGAGGTGTAGGATATAAAAATGGTTTTGGAGAGAATGGTGGAAGTGGTGGTGGTTTCAAGAATCAAGATGATGATAGTGGTTGGGGTGACAATTTTAGAAGCGAAGGAGGAGGAGGTGGTGGTAGAGGCAGAGGTGGTGGTAGAGGCAGAGGAAGTGGTCGAGGAGGAGACAGAGGTGGTTTCAGAGATCGAAATGAGGACAATGGAGATTCTTATGGAAGAAGTTCAGGCTTCAACGAGGATGGTGACGAAGGATCTAGTTTTGGTAGAGGACGACGTCGAGGAGGTGGTTGGGGTGGAGGTAGAGGAGGACGCGATGGAGATGATGACCGTGGAGGTAGAGGCGACAGAAATGATGGCGGAGATAAACCAGAGCCTATCAACAAGGAAATATATATTCCACCAGAGCCATCTAATAATGATGAAGATATATTTGGAAGTGGTGTTGAAATGGGCATAAACTTTGATAAATATGATAACATCGACGTACGTGTCTCAGGTGAAAACAAACCTGATCCTATTGAAACTTTTGAGCAAGCTGGACTTCGTGAGTTTGTTCTAACTAATGTGAAGAAATCCGGGTACACCAAACCAACCCCTGTGCAAAAACATGCTTTGCCTATTGTAATGGCGGGTCGAGATCTTATGGCTTGTGCTCAAACAGGATCTGGGAAAACTGCAGCATTCTTAGTTCCAATAGTGAATACTCTTTTGGAAGACCCAAGGGATTTGGTGGTTACATCGAATCACTGTGAACCACAGGTTGTTATAGTATCTCCTACACGTGAGCTTACTATGCAAATCTATGAACAAGCCAGGAAGTTCTCTAAAGATTCCATTCTGAAGTGCGTTGTTGCTTATGGTGGCACATCATGCTCGTACCAGGGCAAACAAGTATCAGCAGGCTGTCACATTCTCGTAGCAACTCCTGGACGATTATTGGACTTTGTTGACAGAGGCCGTATAACATTTGCATCAGTCAGATTCTTTGTCCTCGATGAAGCAGATCGAATGCTGGACATGGGATTCTTGCCTAATATTGAAAGAATGGTGGACCACCAGACTATGGTACCAGCAGATCAAAGACAAACTCTGATGTTTTCGGCAACATTCCCAGAGGAGATACAACGCCTTGCATCACGATTTCTAAATAATTACCTCTTCCTTGCTGTGGGAATCATCGGTGGTGCTTGCACGGATGTTGAACAGAATTTCTACGAAGTGGGCAAATTCGAAAAACGAAATAAACTTAAGGAACTGATGGAACGCGAATCAGATCTGAAGACTGCAAGAATTCTAGTCTTTGTGGAGACGAAACGAACGGCGGACTTCATCGCCGCATTTCTCTCAGAAAACAGTTTCCCTACTACCAGTATTCATGGGGACAGACTTCAACGAGAACGAGAAGAAGCTTTAAGTGACTTCAAGAGAGGACGAATGTCTATCCTGGTAGCAACAGCTGTTGCAGCCCGTGGACTCGACATCAAGAACGTCGGTCATGTTATTAATTACGACATGCCAAAAAGCATTGACGAGTACGTCCACAGAATTGGTCGAACTGGACGTGTAGGAAATCGTGGCAAGGCTACCAGCTTCTTTGACCATGAACAGGATGCACCGGTGATGAGCGATCTTGTTAAGATTCTGCAACAGGCTGGACAACCCGTGCCGGACTGGATGGAATCTGGAGGTGGTCGAAGCTTTGCACCAGGAAGGCAGAGCAAGTTTGGTGGCCGTGATGTGAGAGACGTAAGTATCTCAGAATTTATAAGATCGTAAATAAGAAGTGCCAATTCAAATTGTTCACCTATCTAATTTATATCTTCAGTTTGATAACGACGGTGGAGGCCATGGTGAACCGTATCCTGAGAGTGCTTACACATCAAGTGCAGCGGCAGAACCGGATGAAGAATGGTAGTTTACTTAGCCTACTTAATGAATGGAGTTTACCCAAATACAAGGTATTTCTAAGTTAGTATGAGAAATGAGCGTCTGATGCAAACTAGATTTGTGACTTTATTCCGTGATAAAGAAGTATTTTTATTTACTGTTATTCCTCAATTATATTTTATTTTTTTTTTGTAACCTATAAAATAATAAGACCGTTATCTCGTGCTTTGACCAAAAAATCGTTAACTCTTATAGAATGCGAGATAATCTCTTACTTAAACGAAAAAATCTCTTATTCATTATTACGATTGAATAATTCTTAATCAAAAGGTGGATAGAATCCGCTGAAATACGTTCCTAATAGTTGTTACCGGGTACAACTTTGTCTGATTAGAAATGTTAACAGAGGCATAAAAGTTTGTATTGAGTTAGTCTGAAAATACAGGGTTCTCTACGTATCATTTATCAGTGTAAATCTCCATGACACATAACATTCATCGTACAAATGTTAGATTATAAGATGAAAATGTGACCTAAAATGTTATCCATAAGCATAGGAATGTACTGACCAATATGGACAGCTTATAGTAATCGAATGATAGTACCATACGCTATGTTGAAAAGTTTTTATACGTTTCATTTTATAATAAAACGATTGAAGATATACATTGGCCTTCGCTCATTGAAATTTTCACCTAAAGATCATTTGACAACTTTCCTAAAAACCAAAAGGCACATAAACATGCCAAGAAATTGACAATTATTACTCACCATCATTCATCGCCATATCCATAAGATGTAGATCCTCGTCGTTCAGAAGGGACGAAAGAAATCCATCTGTAGTTTGGTTTATTGAATCAGAAGCTGGAGTATGATAGTACATCATGTCGTTGGGTTCGGATTTATAAGCAGCACCACTTTCATTACCCATTGGTTCGCTGCTGTTGGTCAGGTTCATCGATGTCGCCACGGCTGATCCCAGATTTGATGGACCCCCTGTATCAGTGAGCAGTTTAGTTCAGACAAAGGAAAGGTAACGTCATTAAAGAAAAACATATTAAGCCACCAATTGATGCTAATGATAAAATTATTCTTTACGGCAGGATACTCACCAACATTGTGATAAGGTCCTGTGGCGTTGAGATCTCCAACAGGCGGAGCTAGGGTGGCATTGTGTAACAGTACGTTACGTTGGGCCTCGTAATGACTGTGATTTATCCCATGTCCTGGATAACCAGGATGACCAGGATGCGCAAAGTGATCCGGCGCACCCGGAAGTGACAGTAGAGAAGCCAAATCCTGCCATCGTTGTTCCATGCTCATTGCACGTACGAACGGCATGCGACCCTGAAAACAAGATAAAAACATGCTTTAAGCTTGTACATCGCTTCAATGTAAATTAACCAGCTAGCGAGGAGATGCGCGCACGACCGATTCTCTCTCGATTATCCTGACATTTTTTCGTTTACGTCTTATTTCTATCGAGAGTCGCACGTCCATCCGTTAACTGTCACGCGTGGTGCCGCCATGTGTCAAGTGTCACCTGGACGAACGCATTGGATTCTTAGGAAGACGGACCCCTGCTGTTCGCGTAGGTGTCCTACGCATACGAGACCGTGGAGAACTCCTAGGATGAGTGTCTATAACGAATTGTGTACCTTAGAAATGGAGATTTCGTTACCCGTAAAATCGTATATTTATCCACGTAGCACTGTCTTACATAATTTTCAAATAACGAGCGCTGTCTCCTGGCGGTACGTAAGGATAAAATAATGCATACAGAAACATATTATACTACACGTTTTTGTTACATGACGTTAATGTTTCAGGGATAATAACTTATTTTTAAATCTCATAAACTTAATCTCTCTCGTCAGACAGATTCTTTAATTTCTACATTTTCTCAATTGGAACTTTAATACATATGCTTAAGTAATATTGTAAAGAAAATGAGATCTTTGTAGGCCCAAAAAATTGACTGTCCGTCTTCTAAAGGTTAAAAAAGACTGCGTCTGTTGAATGTTTACTGGATTGATAGGATTGTATTACGCAAGTGTAATATATACCAACAAATGTTTCGTTTAACATAGGAGTACCGCCCAGAGAGCTTTTTGTCATACTATATCAAGTATATTCAAATTAGGATTTTAGAAAAGAATATAATTTATCGACCTTAACCGAGATATATCACTCTTATACATAAACACATATACTATTGTTTTTCCATGCTAATGTAAATAGTTATATAGGGAACCGATTCCAAATAATTTTATAAATTCTCACAGATGCAAATACCAATAGACAGCTGCTGTCTAGTCGAGTTTTCATGTGAGTCTGTAAAACGAGCAACAATCTCCTACAGCAATTCTGGCAGCGATACAGGTGTTTTGCTCCTCAGGGAGATTCATGCCAGAGAAACGGTAAAGCAGGGTCGTTCGACGTTTATAGAGATTTAATTTTTTCCCCCTTCGTCCAACTCTTAAGACAAGAGAGGAGGGACGTCCAAGATAACTTTGAGGAAGTTGAGCAAACGATGCGATAAAGTCTCCATGAGGTGTACGTATAAGCATAGGATTCAAGATACGTAGCGGCTTCCTAACGCCAGTCGGTGTTGCCTCTAATGTTGCTTCAAGAAAAAGACCATCTTCTGTAGCCAGACTGCGCGCTACTACAGTGAGAATTGTAAATTGTTGTTACGGCATCAATCAGTTGACGTAGTAATCTGCTAAGCGCGACGCCTTTAAGGCGGTTTTCGCTTGTCAGCGCACCTGCCGTCCCAGGCATCGCTAAATGTGGGACGACGTTTTTCCGTCTGTAAATTTATTGTTGCGCCGTTTCTAATTGATTTTTATATCCAGCATGAAAATCATTCTACGAATTGAATGGACCTAAGTGCTTTGCTGTTTGACGCAGAATTTTTTCTATGACAATTTATGTACGATTTTCATTTGGCTTACCATTATGGTTATTTACAAATATATATCTATACCTCCACAGTTATTGAATACGATATTCAATGCGTGACTTAGTTTTAGAAATTCACTCAAATTTGCCGTATGTGACAGTCGTTATATATCCAAGGACTCTATCCACTCGTTCGATTATACCGAATTACACGCTCTATTTGCACGGCGAAATCCAATCCCCTGAATTTTTGCAACACGCCGAAAGTTCGACCAGAACTCTTTGACTCGGTGCCACAATGAGCGACAAATTAACCGTCATGGGAACAATGATCGAGGCCTGAGCGCAGATTTACGGCTTGGACCCTACGGAAAGGTCTCAAGAATTTTATATATATACAAGAGGCTCCGTAATGGAGGGTTGATTGCGTTTATATTTTTTCGTCCTTTTACTTCTGCGTATCAACGCTGTTGCATATATACGACATGCTGTCCAGACAAGTAGAAACGATTTTCGTAAAGGCATCCACGACGCTGCGAAGTCTTCGTTTTTCCCTGAATTTACGCAACCTGAAACGGACAACAGCCATCGCATCTCTCCTCGACAAGGAGCATTAATTTAGCACTGGCTGCAACTAATTATCCCCAGAAATATCAATCGATCCCGCCGTTCATAATTAGCCGAGCCTTTTTTTGCCAACGTCGGTCTCTCGTCGCGACGAACTCGTTCGGCCGCAGTATTTACACTGCGATTTAGCCACGGGCTTCTTTCTTCCGGGATTTCCGCGTTGGCTCCGCAGGGCCTCGTTATGCAAGCCGTGGCATAACTTTCCAGGAAAAAAGACGCGTAATTGCTTCACGCGTGTTTATCGACGGCCGTTAACAAGATCGTAAGCAGGAGCACGGGGTCGGGTCGTACATTGGCCAGCAACCTTATGGCGTTTCTTGTTAGTTAACCATGGTTCGTCGTACGCGCAATAAAAATATCCTCCACTGGCTTCGTGATACCATATACCCGGTGCAATCTAGGAAAATAAATATTTTACCAAAATATAACAGCTGTAGTAAATGCTTATACCGGATTGCACACTGCGACACTGGTAGTGTTAAATCAGACGCGCAATAACCAAATTGAACTTGACGACTATAACTCAAAAAATGATAAATGCCTCGGTTAGCAGAGGCTGCCAGAGATGATCAATGATTAGGAAACCAGTTTTGAGAGGTATGTCTGAAAAATGAAATATAGGCATGTCTTATAGTCAAACAGAAACTGTCAGGTCTACGAGCACTGATTCGTAAAATAGCCTTGAATATCTTATATATGTATAGAAACGACATATATATATATATATATATATATATATATATATATATAAAAATACAATCGAAGCAATCCACGAGGTCGGGACTGCAGCAAATGAATGTGGCACGCATTCCCGACTACTGGCACATATGATTTATGTACTCGAAGTCCAGTGCTCTGTGCTACAGGTAAGGGAAGGTGAGCTCAGTACGATCGTATCGAGGATAGAGAGAGATCGAAGCAATCCACGAGGTCGGGACTGCAGCAAATGAATGTGGCACGCATTCCCGACTACTGGCACATATGATTTATGTACTCGAAGTCCAGTGCTCTGTGCTACAGGTAAGGGAAGGTGAGCTCAGTACGATCGTATCGAGGATAGAGAGAGTATCTCTCAAGTCGCAAGTACCAGCAGCACAAGTGGAGTTATCGGCAGAGCCTATTGCACCTAACACCATCCTATAGCAATGAAGGAAGAAGAAGCCGCAGGAGTGGAAGACCAGCAGGCGAGGAAACCAGATGTTTGAGATGAGCTGTCAAGGACCTTCTAGGCCTTGCGAGAGCTCTCTCGTACTCACAGGGTGGTCCGAAAAAAAAGAAAGGAGAGGGATAATTTCCACAGCACTCGGGTGCATCGGCTCTTTCCGCGTAACTGTGCTCTTTACGACGATGGTTCCCTGCTGGTCGCAATCCTGATGCTTCGAGACTCTTGTTTACCCGGTTGCTAGGCAGCGGTTGATATGCCGTAAATAGGCGACCATTCTCTCCTGCTTTTGGTGACCTTCGGCGGGAAGACGCGAGGAGGTTCGATTTTATTAAAGCGCGAAGTTCATCGTCGACGTGGCAGGGATTGGTAGACCGAACGCAGAGTAAATATGGATAACAGACCCTGGTATGACGCGGATGATGGAAAAATAAAAAAAAAAAGGAAATTATAATCTTGCAGTTTTTATTCGTTTTGATTTTGACGTCTTTCGTCGTTTATTTTTATCTTTTTCGGCCATAAGCTACAGGCTTTTCTTGATCGGTTCGATCGGCTTCTCATTGGGCTCCTGTAGATTCGAGTTATGTTTACATGACGTAGATCCGGGACCCTCGACTGTCACTGGATGACATCTGTCGCCGTCGATCAGCCTGCCAATTCTCCGAAGTCACAATGGATTAGCTTTAAGCACAATGACCGGGCTCTACCTGTTACCCCTTGCGATGTTTTGATACGTGGCCACATAGAAACGCGCCCGACTTTCCTCAGGGAAGAACGTTGTGAATGTAAACATTCGTGGGATGCGCGTCGGCGGATGCCACGAGTTACCCATGTGAGAATGTCTTTACGAGAGAAATTATTTTGTTGCTTTCCTGTGGGAAAGATTGTCCTGGATGACGTCCAACATTTGGCATACTCCAAATATTTCGCTTTGTTTTTTTGTTTTTTTTTTTTTTCAAAATTTTTAATACGCATCTTATCCGGAGCACACAGTATATGGCGTCTACCGGCCAGTCAGTTACACGAGCATTATCCTTGAAGATATTAAGTCCACGAGAATTCGTTCGCTCTCGATGAATCACAGTACTTCCCAGGTGGGTACTGGTTCCTTGAGAATTCGCAACGGTTCATGAAGTTCCGCAACGGTTCGGCGAAGTAGGATGCACGGCACCTTGACATCCCAGAGGCCACGTGTCCCCCGGTGAATGCGCAAGAGTAAATTGCAACGTGAACGTATATATATATTCTTTTATTTTTTATTTTCTTTCTTTCACTTCCTCTCTCACTCTCTCTCTCTCTCTCTCTCTCTCTCTCTCTCTCTCCATTATCCTTTAACGTGGCCTCAATGACTGCCGGCAGAAATTCATTTCACACATCCTACATAGCGCCCGGCATGTCTGACGCATTTATGCATTTCACAGTGCATAAGTCCAGCAGCTGGCTTGGAAGTTCTGACGAACGGAACGACGTGGTTGACTGCTGATGGTACCGCGGAGATTCTTGAGTCGTGAAAATTACCCCCCAGGACGGGAGGTGAGTACGAGCGGAACGACTTGAGGATGAGCTCGGAATTGTTCGAAGCCAGGTTCATGAACGCCGATGCATCGTGAACGGATATAGCTACTGTTGGGAAAGTCGACTTCCCTCTGACACG